CAATGATTCTCTTGTATTATCTGGGGTTCTATTATTGTTTTTTTTCTCCCCTGTCCTACTCCCATGCTGACAAGCACCAATCTCCAGCTTTCCACATCTAGGTCTCCCATAGAAACCCTGAAGTTCACACATTAAAAGTCAATTCCTCAGCTTCCTTCCAAAACCTGCTCTCCCACCTGCTGTATCTTTTTCAAGCAGGAGCACCACACACCACCTAATTCTCAAAGTTATCCTAGACGTCTTCTCTCTATCACTGCAATCACACAAAAATTAAGTAGCTTCCATTTCACCTCCTAAGTGAATCTCAGAACACCATTCTTTCCTCTCCCTTCTCTACTTCCATGCCTTGGCTTAGGCCTCCACAATTTCTCTGATCAATGCTCTCTCTACCTTCAGTGTCGGCCACCTCCATAGATGGCCCCTCTATCTGCCCCACTGCCATCGTAAAACAAATCTGACCATGTCACTCCCCTGCTTAAAACCTTGCAATAGTTATCATCCACTGTCTTTAAGTTTCTTTCAGGATTTGGTCCACAGCTAGATCTTCAATTGCCTCCATTCACCATCCCTATCCTCCAACACAAACACACTTAATGCTGTAATAATACAGCACTACTTCTATTTTCCTGAATATACCGTGTGGTTTGAAGATTCCTCCCTATCATATAATTCTCTTTTTTCATTTTAACACTATTTCGGACACTTGGAAAATACATATTCATCTTTTACAACCCTACTCAGCTTTTACTCATTCTTTAAAGCCTTCCTTGACCACCTCTACTCCCAATTAATCACCCCTTCTCTCTACTCCTTCCTTGCTTTGAACATACTTCTATTGGTACACATATGACATTAACTTGTTATTTGTGCACGTAAGAATCTTCCCTATCAGACTGTAAGCTCATCAACAGAGCAGGGCCCTGTCTTTTTTATCATCAAAATATAAGAGAGTGCCTCAAAGTCATTCAATAAACATTACTTGGAATTAATTAAAACAATTACCAAGGAGACTGCATCTCACATTTGACACATCCCCAAAAGAGATATTTTTGAAAAGAAAGATGTGCAAGTACAGAGTATAAAATAAACAGAGTTGAGGTAAATAAGAATTAACACAAGATTACTTAAACAGCCAAAAATTCTAAGAAATCTTTCAAATAGATACATGGCAACGGAACCAAAAAGAAAACATTAGCATAGTGTGGTAAAAATACTGTCTGAAGGACAGAAGCCTGACACTTGAGATGATGCAAAGCAGAATGTACCAACGCCTAATGAACTAAAAGTCCTGATTCTCATTTTTCCATCAGATAAGAGCCCATGAGAAATGCATGTAACAAACGTTAGCAACCACTTGGACAATAGTTTGTAAACAATAAGAATGAGAGAATCTATTCTAAATTTCTGAGGCTGTGTTATTCACAACAGTTGGTATTTTTCAGAGTTGGAAGAATGTGAAAGAGTATCAACAACTCCCTCCATTTACAATAAGAGAAATTGAGGCTTATGGAAGAAATGAATTATCCAAGATCCCACCACTAGTTAAGTGGAAGATGAGAAATTAGTATAGTGGCTTCTCCATTCTCTGAGGCTTTTTCCACTCCCCAAGACTACTCTTCTGTAGGTTAACTTACAGGCTATATTGTTTCATTTGGTTTAGTTTGGTTTGGTTTACACATAAAGAGTTGTTTTTCTTTCTTAATCCTAGAAGTCTGTAGGTGGTATCCAGGCTTAATTGTTAGAAATGATTCCCACAACTCATTACTTTCATCTATCATTCTTTCCTTCCTCTAACAGGACTAGCAACTCTCAAAGTATATGTCCCATCAGGTTGGATCAAAGGCTTTTGGTAATAATGCTGCTACCATAACATGCCATCATAAGTCATCACTCATGCTGGTTTGTAAAAGCCAGCTATCATTTCACTGATAGTTCGTTAAAAGCATTATCATTTCCCTCAGTAATCCTAGGGAGGTGGTTCTGTTCTACAGCAACAAGAAAGAAGAGTAGATGGGGACAGTGACTAGTCAACAGGCAGGATCGTCCTGGAATTACAGAATCTGAGAACTACTGAGGTGGAGGAATACTAACACCTAGCTGATAGAACATTTTAGGTCCACAAATATGAATTGTGGGTTCTACCAATGATTATAAAAATCAAGAATCTAATAACAAAAATCATCAAAACATAACAACAGTATTGTTTATTTAATGCTTAATAGTATTATTTATAGAGTGTTTGCCATGGCTAGGGACTATTCTAAGAATTATACACACATCTTCACCAATCCTCACAAAATCCCCAAAAGGCAAGTGTGATACAGATAAGGAAAGTGAGAAAAAGCAATGCCAGAATTTTTACGTACAAGGAGCTTAGAGGTGGCAAAACAGAGGGAGAAAGAGGCACCAAGGGGGGAATTGTTTCCAACTCTTCCTACATAACAGAAGCACTATTTACCAGGCTGAATGTGTGCTTGAGGTGGTTAGAACCTTGATTTGCAAACCAAATACAATTTTACTTCAGTGGAATATTTACAGAGGGAGGTAGGAGGGGCTATGGCCACCCTTCCCCAGGTCTGACAGATGTCTTAGCATCATGACCAAGATGATGGAGCAAATAAGAGACCAGGGCTAACATTTGAACCCAGGTCCCTCTAATTGCAAAGTCCTTTCTCCTTCTACTGTATCACACTACATCCTTCTCTGTAAATTCCCCCAAACTATCTAAATACTATGTTAAATTAGTAGCTAACAATTTCACAAATGACCAGATTATGAAAAATGAATTATACCTCTAAGAACCCTAAACTACCATCTAGAAGTAAATTTCCTAATACCCTAGAATAGCATGTATTCTATAGAGTCAATACCTCCTACGGTAGGGCTCAAGTATATTTTAAAACACATATTCACACATAAATGATAGGAGTCTTTCTTGGGGAAAGAAGAGGAGCATGACAGAGAAGAGAAAATAAGTCTCCTTCAGGAGAAGCTGGTTTATAAGAATGAAACAGTTTTTGTATTATGCTAAATACTGGGCTTAAAAACTAAATATAGCCCAATGACATCAATAACTTAATCATAATTTGGGAGCGCACATTTTAAGAGGGAGCGCATTCACTCATTCAACAAATTCCAGTGCAGCAGCCTCATAGGTGCACTGGGCTAGGGGGCCACAGACATGTGCAGGACACAGTCCCTGCATTAAAAGTGCTTCAGTCTAGTTAGAAAAATCAGGTAAATGTGTGAAAGCATAAAAAGCAGCAAACGAGCACACTTCAAAACGCTGGGCTGCAAAGAAGCAGAGAAACTGAAGAAAGGAGAAAGCAGTGGAGCTATTCAAGGTGGTAGCACTTCATGCTATATTTTGAAGGGACAATGAGAATTAGAATTAGAGGCAGGGGGCAGGGAATACATGAAGATCCAGAAATGGGGGAGGGGTGGGGGTGGGGAACGACACTATCATGGACTATCCATGGAAGGATACAGAAGAAAGATGTAAACAGTAGATGCCTCTGGGGAAAGGACATAGTTGGCTAAGGACAGAGGTAGGCTGAAACCAAGGGACTATGCTGCTCTGCAGAGGCAGGTGAACTAGAGAAGATCCTAAGTATCAGGTTAAAAGGTTCAGATAGCATGCAAACTCTTGAGCAGGGTTTCTCAGCAGCAGCACTATTGACGTTTGTGGTTGGATAATTCTTTGTTGTGGAGGAGTTGTCCTGTGCACGTAGGAGGTATAGCAATATCCCTGTTCTACCCACTAGATGCCAGTAGCACCCCCTGTCCAAAATATTTTCCTACCAAAAAATGTCTCTAGACATTGCCAAATGTCCTCTGGGAGGCAAAATCATCCCTGGTTGAGAAACACTGCTCAAGAGCCACAATGTTAACAGTTAGCCTCAAATATTCTAGCACAGCATTCCTGTATATTAACAGCAAATGCAACATACATTCAGATATGGGTCTGAGGAACATACTAGATGATGTTTTGAAATGACCTTCATACATCTGTTAAAGCCTTTCAAGTTGTGGCAAATTTAGGTCTCTTCCCAAATCTGAATGATTTCTTTTTAACCATATTTACTCCATCATAGATTTCCTTTTCTGGATTTGTTGAGTACAACTGGTAACAGCAAAAAAAGAAAAGCTAGATATTTTCAGCAGTACACAGAGAGTGGGCCAGATCCCCCAGTGGGCTTCCCAATGATGCACTGACCCTTTTGGGCCGCTGTAGCATAATTTCATGAGTTTGTAGAACACACCTCCCAGAACAGCATGCGCTCCCTAGATCCAAGACCTTCTAGGATGCCAAGAAAGGCAACCCTCCCACAGAAATCTAACAGGGAGATTATACTATGGCTCAGCTTTTGAAAAAGTAATATAATTGCTGACTCAATAAAAACAAAATTACTTGGATTATGCTAATAATATTCCTTCTCGTAACTCCTAATGACCAAACAAAGTGCAAGACACTGTTCAAAAATCATAAGACATTGCCCCTGATTTCAGGCAGATTATAAAAAGGATTAGTTATAAAGCCAAGAGAGGCCTTAACTAGATTCTACAAATCACAAATTTTATTATACTTAGAGCTATTTCTAACATACCACAATGAACAGAGAGAGAGGGAAAAAAATAAAGTCACAACATCCAACAGGCTTGAATATTTTTCAAATACATATCTAAAACTTTTGTTAATTCTCCTTTGTCTTTTTCTTTTCCCAAAGCCAGAAATCCAATAACACCCTGGCAATCGTGGCTTCATATTTTGAAGTCATTGATTCCTTCAATACTGTTGCAGTTGAAAAGTTCTGGATTTCATTCTCATGAAATCATTCTCTTCAAATTCTAGTCCTGTGCCGACTACTTTTGCTTAGCTCTCAGAAGGTTGGCTCTCATTTGTGGAGGTGACCTCCAGTGACCTCACTCTGCAATAAATACACCTGTAAGTCGCTGTGGAAGGTGCTTATAAGTGTCCGCGGCGAAAAAAAGAAACTCACCATTCTAACTACTTCAGGGTAAGTCTGCTCTGTCAAACAGCCTCTGCTTATTGTAATGTAGTCCACCAGTTCATTAAGAGTGGAGCGCTTGTATTCTTTCATTTTAAGATCAGATAGCGTGTCCATGAAGTCAAAAATGACACAGCACTGCTGAAGTTTCTTTAGGAACAGTTCAGGCTGCTCTGAGGATGGAACGTCTAAGAAAAAAAAAGGAAATGGTGTAAGTCTGTCATCAATTTCTAGGTAACAGGAATTCTCTGTGAAAGTTACTTCAAAAGCAAGCTCAAAAAAATAAGAATTCACATGACATCAGTGTTCTTTTTAACAGTTACACATGGGGAGGAGGGGAGACCATATTCACTCCTTTAGAGACTTTTTCTTTGAAAACTACATTGTACCAACACAATTGACAGCATTTGCTATTTCACAACCAAAGATTAACCAAAATCCCAAGAGCCAATAGAGAGATGAAGCAAATTTTAACCAAAAATACCCCAATGTCAACACCCGTAAGTCCAAAAACACTGAAAAAGGTCAAACTTTCCATTATAAGGTGAAATCAGAAGTTTTCACTGTTGGTTTAAATTAGTTTACTAAAAAATTTAAAAGCAGGAATGTCAGTCTATACATTTTAATTTCAGGCCGACATCCTTGATATTTACAGCAACTATTTGTGTATATGTGCTTATGTTTTTTGTTTATGCTTTTGTTTTGTTTTGGCTTCATCTCAATGATGTTTCTCTGTCAAAAAAAAACTTGCAAAATCAACAAAATGAAGCAATATCAACTATCTCAAAAAGAGCACATTGGTAATGGGAAAATAAGAGCAAACTCCACTTAAATCTACACTCTTTTGACCCATCTTCTTCCCTTAGAATAGGAGAAAACTACTGACATCTTTATTAATATGTTCTCAGAATAGGCATCTGTTCTTTTCCCACAAACAGGAGGTCAGACATTTGGCTTGGTATTATTTCTAAAAAAAAAAAAATGTAGAAATTTCAGGTTAGTTGAAATTCCCCAGCTAGAAAGGAAAGCTGATCTGAAGTTGGACTTGAAATATACCAACTAAGTTGCAGACAACTCATTTGTATCTTCTTTCCCCTATTTTATGCCCACCTCCTGCCTCCGAACTGCAGCTTCTGAGGAGAGGCAATAAAAATTATGACCAGGGTAGGCACTGCTGCCTTCATCCAAGACGATTAACTCATTAATCCTCAGAACACCCTTACAGGTAAGCAGGTGGCGTTATTATTTCTCCACTTCACAGAAAGAAAATAAGAGACAATCACTGAGGTCCCACAATGAATGAGTTATGAGCTGGGTACAATGCCCAGGTCTCTAACAACACTTCCACATACCCTGTGTACTACACGAAAAGGACTTTGCCAGCTGCCCAGAAAATGCTTTACAGCAGCCTCACAGCATGGGCCACTTGCTCGCTGGAGGTGAGTGCAACAGCTAACAGCATCCACCTTCCTACCACTAGCAGCCCCAGCAGAGGACTAAGGTCACACTCCCATTCACAGAATCCGCATGGGTCCTCTCCACAACCCCCTTCCCCTCCTCACATTCCACAATCCAAATGCCAGCCCAAGTACCCGGGACCTCATGGGTAATTTCCCCCAAATAATAACTACTGACAGCCACTTCAGGATAATCCTGACAATGGATAGGCTACCTGAAAACATAGGACTTTTCTACAAGATATAAACAAGAAGAAGTCAATATTTTTGAAGGTATATAGTATCATTGCTACTCTCAGCAAAAACAAGTTGTGAATTTAGAAATTATTCTTAGCCAGGTAACTTTCCCCCTCCCCTGCCATCCCCATGAGTCCCCAAAGGCCTAGTATATCTATCTTACAGTCAAAGACCTTGGAATTGTTTTACTTTAAGGCATGAAATATGTCTTATTCTATGCCCTTAGACTTAATCGGTTTCGAAACACCTAGCCTTAGGCTGAAGAACTAAATTTAGTCAGACCAAGCTTTCTCTTTAATTGCCCTAATTAAGGTACTGAATTTAAAAAAGAAAAGAAAAAAAAAAAAAAAGAACTGAATAGGCTACTTGTGAACATAACTGTATCTCCTCCACCAATGTCCAATTACATGTGCAGGACCATCATAGTTAATTACCGAAATCTTTTGAGTTCTACCTCATGGCCCATACATAGAAACTGAACGGGAGTTTTGACGCTGCAAAGGGAACAAAAAAAACTTATTAACATTAGTTAAAATCTTCAGAAGAATTTTTTTGATACACTAACTTTAATAAAGCCTAAAAACCAGACCACCTACATGGAGAGCTCCTTGAATCAGCACATATGAATTATGAAGGCATCTATAAATGATAGCTTCTCCTCCAAAATGCAAAACATCATTTAAGCAGTGACAATAACAATTAAACTTTGTGGTCACTGCAATAATACTCAAGAGATTCATATATTTGGATATTTTAAAAAATCAGGTAGTTAATATTTAGCTCTTTTCTTTTTAATGTTAAACAGCTGAAATTTATTCTTTCTTTATCCAAACTGATGTAATGTCACAGACAAATGTGAAGCAGACTGCCCACCTGCCCAATGGAATAATGACAACAGCTTACATTTACTGGGCACTATTGGGTATATTTGGAGTCCCTGGGTGGTACAAACAATTAGTGTGCTCAGCTGCTAACTAAAGATTGGAGGTTCAAGTCCACCCCGAGGCTCCCTGGAAGAAAGCCCTTGGCAATCTACTTCCCAAAAATCAGCCATTGAAAACTCTATGGAGCACAGCTCTACTCTGACACACATGGGGTTGCCATCAGTCGGAGGTGACTCAACAGCAAGTGGTTTTTATTAGGTATATTTATTGGATACTCTTCTAAGCACTTCACACATATCTCATTTAATCCTGACAACAAACCTATGCAGTAGGTGCTATTTCCCATGGTACACATGAGAAAACCAAGACACAGAGAGATTTAGTGACTTGCCCAGAGTCATTCAGCTAATAAGCAGTGGAGACTGGATAGAAACCCAGGCAGACTGGCTCCAGAACCTAGACTCTTCACCACAGTGCTACACTCAATCTCCGTGAAAGGTAAGAGTAATACATTCCAGAGAACAGGGTGTGTACAAACAGAGAAGAGGAAGAACACAGAAATAAACAAATTCATCTCCACCATGCCCTCATTCATAAAGTACGGAAATCTTTCTCTATCTTGCCTCCAGCCCATTCCCCAGAAATTAATACACAGAATACATAAAAACGAGCTTTATCATTTATTACAAATTCTTCTTAAATGACTCTGTTACTTACATAGGACTCAAGTAGTCACGACTGACTGAAAGAAAAAAAGAGGAAAAAGTTTTCCTCAAAGAGTCAGTCCCTTAAAGGAAAAATTAAAAAAAAAAAGTCATCTGCGACAAATGATGAGGTAACTAGCAATGATTCAAGCAAGGGGCCTTTCCTGCAATGTTTGGTACAGTACTGCCCTACCAGCCATGTTATCCCAACCTCTGTGCCCTCAACATCCTAGTCCCAGTGGGATGTGAAAAGGTAGGACGAGCCAGGATGAGAGATGAAACACTCTCTAAGGTTTCCACAATATAAGAAAAGTTTAGTGTCTATGAAGCCCATCCCAGAAGCAGATATAAACATTCTTTTTAAAGAAACACTTATAAAAAGGATCAGGTACTAGGCCATAAAGAAAATCTCATAAATGACAAAAAGAAGAAATCATACAGTCAGTACATTTTGACCACAAAGCAATAACACTACCTTTAACAACTCAAAGCTACCCACCTCCCAAAACCAAACCATGTGGAAATTTAAACACTTCTGAAGTCATTTAGATTGAAGAATACAACAAATACAGACATTTAGAAATAAAAATAAATGAGGAAAATTAAAGGTCATCTTCACATCCCAAATCAGACCAGGCAGTGAATGCTTCTGCCAGGCTATTTTCCTGGGCAGCCCAATGGAATCCTCTGGCCTGCAAAGGCCGTCCCTGCCCCCTAGGAGAGGGATGGCCATCTCCTAAAATCATAACCATAAATAATGAGGAATCAATAGGTGGTTATGCAACATCCCGAATGTCATCAGTACAACCACCCATCTAGCCAACGTTAGTATTTGTTTATTACAACTTGATAAGATCCCATACCACCAGATTCCACTGCACTAGAAGAATTCTTACAACTAAGCTGATTTCCAGAATGTTTCCGACCCAAGAAAAAAACCGTAAGTGATCAATCCACTCAGTAGTTATATTTCTCACTGTGCTGTCCTTCTCCTTCCTTTTGAGTATGTCATTTTCCCCATATGCCTTTTCTATCACTGTCTCACAGCATCCTCCTAACAATTTTCATCAGTAAGCTAAGGAAAATGACTACTCGCTAACTCCACCTCCAAAGTGTTCGTATCCAAATAATTTTGAAATTTACAAGTATGACCTGTAATGGAAAAGGATCACAGAATACAATAGTCAAGGGAGATTGTAAGTTCAGGTTAAGAGACAAACATTCTCCTTATGTCTAAAGAACAATCAACAGGATCTACTACACACATTTTGGCCACCCCCACCCCACCACCACCTACCGCCCACACACACACACAAAACTCCCTTTACCCTCATTATGATTTCAAGGGCTGGTTGTTTGATTGTTAACAATCTGCAGAAAGCTGTTCATTCCTTCCTTTTATTCCTCAATAGTTAACAGCTTCCCTTATTCTATCCTATCTAGTGTTTGGGGCACAGGATCATGGATCCCTTTTCTTAGGGCCTGTCTTAATTATCTAGTGCTGTTATAACAGAAATACCACAGGTGGATGGCTTTAACAAACAGAAATTTATCTCTCACAGTTTAGGAGGCTAGAAGTTCGAATTCAGCACCAGCTCCAGGGGAAGGCTTTCTCTCTCTGTCGGCTCTGGGGTTAGGTCCTTGTCATCAAACTCCCCCTGGTCTAGCAGCTTCTCACCACAGGCATCCTGGGTTCAAAGGACACACCCTGCTCCTGGCTCTTCTTGCTTGGTGGTAATGAGGTCCCTCTCCTCTCTTCTCTTTTATATCTCAAGAGATTGACTCAAAATAACAACCTAATCCTGTAGATTGTGTCCTGCCTCATTAACATAACTGCCTCTAATCTTGCCTCATTAACATCATAGAGGGTAGGATTAACAACACATAGATAATCACATCAGATCAC